TGGATGGATGGATGGATGGATGGATGGATGGATGGATGGATGGATGGATGGACAGACAGACAGACAGACAGATGTAGACAATTCAATACAATAGATAACATATTAAATTAAGATAAAACCATAATAAAATCACCATAATACGGATCCACAGAATTGCAATGCAATAGATGTTAAAATTCTATATCTAAGGAAGCGAACCTGCTTCTGGTGTGGCCACGCTGAGGTCATCTCAAGTGCCTTGAAATTTCCCGAGGGGACATTCTTAAACTCACTGATCTTAACTGGCCATGTATGACACTCAGTTTCCCAATTCCTTATAGCCAGCTGCACCAGGTGAAGCATGAACCTTCCAGCTTTGAGTTTTCTCTGCTGTGCACACACCATCTTCCGCTACTAAAATGAGCATTACAGTGGCTTTGAAGTATGCTGTCTTCGGCAGCACAAAGGGCTCCCGAGATCCATTGTAAAAGTTCCTCCTGGGGAAAAATGGGTTTTGGAGGGAAAGCAATTCCAGAAGATCTCAAAAGAGATTGGTGATCCAAGTATCCTTCTTTGTGATGAACTGGAACTGGAACTTTCCATCCCTTTGTCGACAGTATTTACCTCAGAAGGCTTTTTGTTTAAAGTGGAGATGAGAATACACTCCCATTGATCTTTGTGGACATTATTACTCATGCACCCTTTGTTCTGGGTTTATTTAAACATCTGGCACTTGGCATCTGCTGCTTGCATTTATGAATTTCAAATATTTGTTGAACTTGACCTAGGTAGTTTTAGCAGTTCTGTGGAAGCTTCAAGAAAGTCACCGCCAAGGAATCAGTCAGGTTGCCAACACCCACTTTTAAGTTCACTTTTGTGGTGGCTTAACAGTCCACTTTTGAAGGACATGAATCATGTGCTTCTACAACCTAGTTTCTGCAGGTAGTTAAATGCACAGAGCAAGTCCCGAGTTGCATTTATTTCCTGCCAATTCATGATCATCATCATTTTTTAAGACCCCATAATCCCTGGCGGGGTGGAGTCTGGGCAACTGAATGGAGCCGAGTGTTTACTGGCCAGATGCTCTTCCTGTCACCAATGCG